AACTGTTCCACCACGCTGTCGCCACCATGGTCAGCGCTGCCCACCGCAAAAGCGATCCATTGCTGTCGCCGCCATGGTCTTAAGCTGCAGCGATCCATCTTCGGTTGATCTTGCAACGCACTGCTCTCACCACCACGCTGTCGCCCATCCTCGTTGCAACGCACTGCTGTCGCCATCATGCTGTCGCCACCACGGTCTTAATCTGCAGCGATCCATCTTCGGCAGATCTTGCAGCGCACTGCTGTCGCCACCACGCTGTCGCCACCATGGTCAGCGCTGTCCACCGCAAAAGCGATCCATTGATCCATCCTCAGCTGATGTTACACCACTGCAGTCACCACCACGCTCAACCTTGCCCTAGGTCACCATGGATCCATAGCTGAAGGGTGACAACACTGGCCACCCCCCATCGAAGACGGAGAAGGTCCAGTCGGCAATCAACATGTAAAATGTAGATGTTTCTGAGCGGGCAAAGAAAAGTCATTCATAGCAAAGGTGTCAACCACTGACGCCACAAAAGTTTCACTTGGAATGCAATCAGAATGCACGAGTGAACGTGTGAACTGTTTTGACAGGAGGCGTCCCAAGGTCACATCTTACACTCAGTGCTCAAGCACGATGCGCTTAAAGGCAAAATGAAATAGGTACAAAATATCTGAGTTGCCGGCTCGTGCCCTTTATCAGAATGTCGAAGGAAACTCTTCGCCAAATCCAAAGTCAAGGGGCCAAAGCGGGCAGATCGATCTGACATGAGGGGTCCGAGATCCACCTGACAGCATGAGCACATGCTCTCAGCTCTTGAGAACTGACATCTGAAAGCAGAGAGTCCGATGTTCTGACACGGGATCCAGTCCCACTCACCTGACTGAAATGCTGAAATGAAGTTGACCTTCCGAGAACCCTCGGAAAGCCCGAGTTGGCCAGCACCGACGCACATGAACTGATCTCCCTGATGGGATCTGATCGACCCGAAGGTCTCAAATGTCTGAAATCGGACATATGGCTGATCGGCCGTTTGGCCTCTGAATCATTGAGTCTTTTCGGCCCGTAGACCTCTGACACTGAGATCCTCCCCAGCCGGGAATGGAATCCACACTGACAAAAGCGGAACTGATTGCAAATCAGTGCAACCTGGACTCAGACAGCACACGCATATTGTTCCAAATAACTGACTGCATGTCACGGCGCCCTCGGACGCACAAGCATATTGTTCAAACCTGTCAAATCAAGAACGTGTGATCAGACAAGTTCAACGCTGACCGAAACTGACACGAAATGATAAGAGCGAGAAAGCCTGACAAACTGACAGCGCCTGAAAGTGCCTGGCCGTGTTTGACAGGGGAGGTCCCCGCACCCATCCTTCCAAAGTGAAAGTGTGGCATGAAGCTGAAGTTTGACACACACTGACAGCCCGATTTCGCGCACGCTGACAGTCTGCTACACGCAGCATGACAAAACAAAACTGATAGGTTTCTCCAAGCTAATGCCTGAGCCGACGACTGAAGCATCTCTCTAAATCTCGCGAAGGAAGCTGACTCCTGCTGACCTGTCGGAGTCGATCCGCTCAGGATCCTCCGAATCTGCAGGTTAAATCGGGAGACGTTCTAAACGGCAACGTGAACTCTGCAAAACATAAACCAAGATCGACTTGACCACTTACAGTAGACCTGTGTCTGAAACCGAATGTCCGGAAGGCCTTGCAACCTGATGGCAACCTCTGAGTGGCAAACCAGGCAGACTGATGATCTCGTTATTTTTATAAGCACCACTTGTAAGAACGGTCCTGAAGAATTTGAATGAGCAAGAGCAAGGTGTTGCCACAAAACATTTGACTTCCGAAAATCTGATTTACTCCAGATCGGCCAAACACGACGCCTGCAAATAAGAAAAGCAACGGAACGTTCGATTTGCTGGAACTGTCACGCAAGTCAAGGCAGAAGGCTGCAAAGGCGTCACACCTGCCCGTTTTGAATTGAATGAACCTTGCACAGCACTGCGACACAGTCGGCGCCACGGTCCCAGATCACCACGGATCCAGTGACAGAGTGCTGGAAGGCTGGCACACAACCGAAAACCAGCCACTGACCCTATCAGCAACAGTTAGATGAAAAGTATCATATGGCCAAGACAACACCAAAACCCATGTGGGCATTGCCAGAAACTGAAAGTCCACCACAACCAACCTTTCTCCATTGAAGAGAAGCTTCAAGAGCTCGAAGAAGGCTTGAAGCGGAGAACTGAAGTAAACTTGAGAAACTGATCTAGAACATTCCATTTCTTGCATGTAGCCATTTCTTAGGGCCTTAGACCAGTCTTGCGCACCAGCGGTCACGAAGGTCGGCTTCAAGCTTCAAGCTATCTTCAGTCGCTCGAAGGAAATCCCTCCCAGTCCCCTTCAAGAAGTTCTTTGCAAGTTTGTCTCTGTGTGCGCCAGAAATGGCCTTTACCAGCATTTCACTGTTTATAAACTTGATGGCTCCGTTGCATACGGATTTGCACAACTCTCCAAGCATTCCAATTGTACGTTCAAGATTACTTCTCTTAAGGCAGCGTATGGATCGAGAACCCTTCTAGCAACGTGTCTTTCACAGAGTTGCTCACAGGCCGAATTCCAAGCTTTAGAACCCACCTGAGACGCCGATTGCTGACGAGAGCCCCCGAAGGGTTGACTAGTGGTCTATGAACTCTTCTGTGGATCAGTCACCTGGTCATCCGCGCGTTGAGAGAGGGGTTTAGGGTTTTCCTTTCAATCGTGACCTGCATTCTTGCAAAATCTTGCCAGTACCTTTGGGCTTTTCACCCTCGAACGGGATGTTTAGAAGCATTTTTGGTTTTTATTCATCCCGCTAGAAAAAAACCGCTCGTACGACTTCTCGTATTTGAGCGACAGCAGTGCATCTGATACAAAGGTTTTACTTGGGTACAAGCCTAGTTTGGAAAGTGAAACGGACCAAACGATTTGTTTCCGAGCCCTTGAAGCCCTCTTCAAGCCCTTCAATTGAAGCCCCGCTTCAAGCCCTTAGAGTTCCCCTTCAGCTCCTCTTAAAGCCCTTGAAGTTCCCATTCAGCCTACCTTGAAGCCTTTCAAGTTCTTTCAGGGTGTAAGAGGTTCCAAGATCCGCTAACGGACGTCTGGTTCTTCCAGATCTAGTCCATCGGGCCTTAGCTTCACAAAGACGCCAAAAAAAGTCACAGCCTGTTTTGAGACCCTCGCGCTAGCCTGACTCCAGATGGCATGCAGTTGCCTGGAACGCAAAATCCTAGTCTTTGCCATGCCCGCAAGCTCGAACACTTCTACTAGATCGAAGTTAATAAGCTCTTCTCCAGCGTGGCTGCAGCCTCTTTCTCTTTGCCTGTGCTTTCTGGTCACGCTTATTCCGTAGTCTTACTTGTTTCCGTCTTGCACTGCTGGAAGAAGTTCCAAGTTAAAAGACTTTAGTGGAGATTTCGCATCTTCTCCAGCTAGCTCAAACTCTGGCCTCCGTGTTTCGCGCTGAGACCACACAGTCCTGCCTCTGCAAGAAGCGACCGCGCGGTCGAGACTCTCTCCAGCTCCATGAGCTCAACATGTCTGCTTGTGTTACACGCCATATGGACATTCTGTCAGTTTGTTTTGGACTCTGCCTAAGAAGGCAAAGAATGGCGACACATGGGCTTCAGTCAAACATTCAGCCATTCCAGTTCACATGTTATTTTTGGGCCTGCGTGGTTGGACAATTTGTCCAAGTTTGTTCGGAAGAATTTTCATGTTTGTACTTGCAATTTTACTGGCAGGCAATTCTTGCAGCATGTTTGATACATTAGTTTCACGTGACATCTTTGGGGTCAAATGGGAAGGTGGAACATTCAGCCCTTTGAGGAGTTTTAGTGTTCCACCCATGCCCCCTTTTGATGTTTTCATTTCGTAATGGCCATTGTGTTTTACCGGAGGGCTGATCAGATCAGTTACCCAACCTGCCATTGTTCAGACGCACTTTGTGTCACGGGCCGTGCAATCCAAAACAATCGGCGATTGCAACACACACCAACATGTTCCCTTCCTCCCTTCGTTTGCATAGTTTTGGTTTATGATCCTCCGGATCTAATGCGAGGGTTCTTTCGGATACAATTAAATCTTTCGTAAGTTCCACACCAAATTCATCGGGGAATGGGCGGGTGAGAATGACGGGATCCAGGTCATTTTGTTCCAATATGATGATGCTCAAAAGCAGGATTATAATCACTGAGGTTACACTGGTTCATTCAGATGTTTTTGAACGGGTTTGCGTGGGCTTGTGGACATATCGGCATTTAGGCGGCTTCATTCTAATTTGGTTGTCACCATTAAGCTCTGACAATTGGGAAAAGTCACCAGACTGCACACATGCGGACTTTCGTGATTGTTGGCAAAGTTGAGGCCGCCTTGATTTGTTTTTTGTAAAGTTGTTGGTGCTGAAGAGCTTGTATTCCCCTTGCTCTATGCAGTTTTGATTGCTAATCTTGTGTTGCTAAACAAGCGTGTAATGTTGCCATGTGCTTCCCCCGTAGATCCCTTGAAATGCAAAACACCCATATGGTGTGGTAGATGTTGCCATGGTTAGCGTTTGATGAAGCCCCTACGGAACACACGTTGGGACTTCACACAAATCACAAACAGGCTTGGCAACAAGAAATGCCTCCATCCCAAGTGTATATACGGCTTCCGCAGCTATTGAAATAAACAACACTGAAAGTGGTATTTTTCGGCATCCTTCAGCCACTAGCACAGCATAGCCCAACAAAGGATTTGCGAGCAGCCAATGTGCGAACCACATTGCAGAGCATGTGAAGTGCTGTATGTCATACCGCATGTATGTAAGTTTGCAGAATTGCCCACATGAATTCCGAGTTTGATGCACCAACAATACCATCATGCCAGCATGGGTGCATATCGGGTTTTTAGTTAGTAGAGGAGACTGAGCATTGCAGAATGAACGAACGTCAACGATGTGCAGACCTGTGTTCCGCGCGTATGCGGAGTGATGCATGGAATTCTGCCGCCAATCCCTCGCGGATTGGAGGACTCGTGGTCTGTCCTGGTTTCAGCATCTTAGCTTCTGTGCTTCCGCTCCCGGCTCTCTGGTGTGGAGCTGCAGGACAAACAATATCTCAGAGAGTGTAGACATTGCGTTTGATTCGTGTACATGGCAAGGACAGGTCTGCTCGTCAAGCGTGCCTGGTTGCACGTGTGTCGGCTCGCAGCTCCGCGCTTGCCGGCCTTGACGATCTGGATCGCCAGAACCGTGAGGCTGGGCTTGGAGCATTTGGATAACATGCAGGAGGTGGAAATCCGCTTGAGGCACGGTCACTGTCCTGGAGAAGTTGCAGCGACAACTTGACATTTCTGAAAGATCCTGAAAGGTTGCATTAGCTGCTGTTTCCGCCAATGGCATTGCGCTGCAGTGGGCACCAGCCTCTCGGGTTGCAATTGTATTGGCACCCTGCCCTCCCGGTTTGTTGACACCAGATGGTCGGAATTCAGCTTGTGCAGCAGCAGAGGAACGGTTCAGAAAAGACAAAGAGGTGGCGCTTGCTGCAGTTTCAAGTGCAGGATATGCGCTCAAGTATGTTGGCAAGGACTGGTGTCATGTGTTTGCTTGCTTGCTGCACCTAGGCTGTTGCACACTGGAGGCAGCATTGACCGCCAATACCATGGCAGGAGTTGCGGAGTGATCCAGAAGTGGTTTATGCGGCCATTCGCCAAAATGCCTTAGCCTTACACTTTGCCTCGCCGCGTTTACAGCGAGACAAGGACTGAGTATTGTAGTCGTGCAAGTGAGCCAGTGCAGATCAAGCGAGAGACAAGCAAGACAAATCGAGACCGAGCATGAGAGCAATCGCTAGGACCGCTAGCAGTCTGCATCTCGCAGGATCTTGTCCTTGAAGCCTGTCGAAGAGATGTGGCCGCGCTCAACTTTGCTGCTGCATCTTGGCAGCAGCTGAGGTGTCATGTGATTCATCTGACCTGGGTACCTCAAAGGACCACCTTCGTGAGGACGATCACTTTCGCAGCACTGCTGGAGTTGAATTCCCAAGCATCGATCATTTTGCTGCCTGCCTTGACAGAACTCAGCGTGTTTCGACGGCACTGATATATTCACACGCCCAGAATGACCAAGGCTTCGGTAAGTTCAGTGACTTCCTGTTCGTCAAGGACCCATGTGTCATATCCTGCCTCGCAGCTTTTGCCCGTGAGCCAAAAGTCAGTGCTTAGCTGTTTAGCGTCTTGCCTAGTTGTACATGATCGAATAGCTTTCTGGGTAACGACATTGCTTAGCTTGGAAGTCATGTATATATATATATATATATTTGTGTGTGTATGTATATGGTCGCACAGGTTACAACTGTTGTTGGTGATAGGTCATGCACAGGAGTTGGTTCAGTGCTTCCACCTGTGATGGACGATGGCCGTCGTTCACACAGTGGAGCTACCGCCCCTACTTGGCCTTTTTTCAGCAGTCAGTGCGCATGGAAGGTATCATCTCATGTTCGTTCAAGCACGGCTTTCGTTCTGCCTTGTCAGTCGTATGTCATATGGATGAGAGACAAAATTTAGGCAGCATCCACGGCAAAGTCCATCAGCTCCGCGGCGGAAGCTGACAGTCGCAGAAAGAAAACGCTTTCCAAGCGAGGTCGCGCTGGCAAGGACATTCCCTGAGATAGATAGCAGTGTCAGCAACAAGGAGCGGAATGCAACTATGCAGTTTGAGACATTTTGTCAAGGAGAAGCGGAGAGGAAATGCAGAACATCGGTGAGCGCATTGCCGGACAAAGCTTGAGGACAAGCGCCGAGCCGCTTTGCACCTGTTTGAGCTGATGGTTGTACAGGCGATCTTCGCACTGGATACCTGTGCAGAGAGTGCAAAGCCCGGCATAAAAGCCTGGTAGGGGGGCCGGCCTGAGGTTTTCTGGGTACGGCGGTGCGGTTTGGTGTCACACGAGGCCAAAGGATGCCTCCAGAATTTTGCGAGTTTTGCCCCTCGTCGCCCATTGCAAGATCTTCCCGCCACTAGCTGAGTGGTTAAACTACAAGGCTGCAAGTGGATGCCAGTGGATGCATCATGCCTCCGGGTTCAAAAGAATTGATCCCTGGTGACATTGCTGTAGTATCACGAACGGGAGGGACTAGCAGGTTGCGCGCCTTTTCGGACATGTCTTTTTTGGTTCAAGGCACGTCATGGAGTCTCCTGCTGTAGATTCATGCGCGATGCAGCATGGCTCGCCTCAGCCTTGCAAATTGTGTGACCAGTGCGAACCTGTTTGCCGAGCTGCAGGCACCTGGGTAATCTGCCTTTGCGCGCTCAGCATTCAGGCAGAAGCCCCAATTGCAATTCTTGCATCCGTACACCTGCAAGCCTTACAAGGCCCAGGATGACGACTTTGAATGGTTCCGGTGTGATGCGTGCTCGGCAGCTTGGCCTTGACAGAGGCTGGTCCAGGTAGTGGTCACTCCGGACCTAAGGCATCGTTCTACAAGATCAACAGGACAGTGGTTCCCAACCAGGGGGTCGCTGAGTACAAATGTTTGCCTGCTTTGCTACCTGCTTTTATTGCCAGAAGGACTCTCGTTCAACGCATCCTGGGGAGGGCGTCCGTTCCTTCATATGAATTTCTGGAGCCCTTGCTGTTTCAGTGTTTAGCGGTGTGCCTTCTGCGGGACGTGAAAGTCTAAAAGCATCAGCAGGATAAACGTAGGGGAACATGCAATATGCCGGACCGAGGAAATAGTGGATGAGGCTGGTGTAGAAAAGAATCATGCATGGTCAATCCGTTTCTGCGTTTTCTCTTGCGGAAGGTTTGTGAGACCATGTTCACAAAGAACGAGCTACTCCGCCGCAATGCTTGTTCAGTAAATGCATGGGCTTGAGGTAAATTTAGGCTGCTACTGTTGCGTTCTACAGACGCTGCGTTGTGCAAATGCAAGGTTTGGTGTGAAGCAGCACGAAGCTGCTTGCCTGCCATTCGGCGCAACCAAAAATCAATTTGCCATGTTTATGCGGTGAATTCCCGGCCTTTCAGCCAAGGGGAAAAAGTATCTCTTTGGACCTGGTGTCACAGACCATATTCCTGGTCTAGGATTTGGCCAAATGGGAATGGGTGTGGCTCTGCTGAGTTTGTTGGGTTGCCTTGTTGCCTTGCATGAACGATTGAAATCTGTGGCATAATCAGCACTAGCCGATATCGACCAGGACTATGACAAGAGACTGGCATCGTACTGCAAGATGTTCGTTGAAGAGTTGGGCGAGGACTCTGGTACTGAGATTTTCCCAGACATGTGTCTCCTATCCAAGATCAATTTGGGTCCTTTACTGCAGATGAGCTTCGGCGCGCTGGCATACCTGCTCATTTTGTGATGAATGGCTGCTTTTACCTTCAATTCGAGCGCTTGCTGTCAGGAGAAGCTTCAGCAGCTTTTCTGGCAGGAGCGGCAGGGCTCCCAATCTGTACGCGTTTTTCAGACTTGCGGTTTCTCTAGATACCTGTTGCCTGCCAAGGCAGCTCAACCACACGCAGCTGTGCCTGGAAGAGTGCAGGTCTTCTGCCAGCGGCACGGGTGTTGGTGTCTCAGTATTCATATGCCATGTTGTACGCGGCAATGCAAACTTAACGCGTCAAGTATTTCCTTTGCTATACTTTGCAAGTGCCAATAGCGTTTGGGTGGCCCTCATCACCCTTGCAACAACTTTACTCATCCCGCCGACATTCTTTTTCAGGCTCAGTCGCGAACCCCTCGAAAGCCTCAGCCCGCCAGGTGGAAGAGAGAGCCCCAGAAGTCCCCCTCCTACGCTGAAGTTTTCACGTGTTGCAGGCCGAAGCCATCCCCGTCGATTGTGAAGCCCAAAGCTTCCAAGGATGTCATGGACTCAGTTGAATGACATGATCCGCGGCAGCTCATAGAAGAAAAAGGCGGTGGAGAAGAAGCCAAAGCTAGACACCAAGAGCTCGACGTCTGCACCGAAGCAAACAGGCCACCACAGATGTGGGGAGTAGTTTGGCTGCTTTTTCCAACAGCTTCGCAGCAGGAACTGCTGGACATCAGCTGGACAAGGCACTTTCTAAGTGTCAGAAGGTTGTCAGCAGAAAGATGACACTTTATGCATCCAGTGAGGTGCTGTCTTTGCTGCCGCAGTTGGAAGCTTTCGAGTTGCAGCGCCTCGGCGGTGCCGCTTCCTTAGAGCCTGAAAGTGTGTGGACCTTGTCCTGCATCGCATGGTTGCTGAGGCAGTGCTAGAAGAACTTACTGCACGGGCTGGAAAGATTGGCCAAAACAAGCCAGCACGGTCTGAGTTGTGATATGTTGTGATCTCCTAGCCTGACTACGACATCCCGGCAAAGCTCAGCATCGATTGCGAAGCATTGGTGGCCGAATGCCAGAAGATCTCGCACAAGCTCGTGCTTGTTGTAGTCGCCTCCATGGTGGGTGGTGCCGGACCAGCTGACTTACAATGACTGCGCGAAGCAAGTGCCTGGCCCTGGCAGTCACCTGTCGACCATTAGCGTCCATCTGCTGCCGAAAACACCGTTTATTGTGCATTTGCTTGTTGTTTACCTGCGCTTGGTTGCGCTTGCAGAAGGTGGCCTTACACACATGGAGCACGTGTTGAGGGTTCCACGGCTGCCTGGGTGCTGACGGGAGGAGAAAGCAGCAGGCGAGGTAATTATGGGAGGAATGGATGAGAAATCTGATTCTGAAGACGAGGCTCGCTCTGCCTCTTTCCCGGCCGAGATGCTAGTGCACAGGGGCCCTTGAGCATGTCATATTAAGCTATGTCAACACAATGACTCCCACTGGCATCATGGTATAGTTGTCAACGCAGCATGCTCGTATGTCTCCTTGTGCGAATCTTCTAAGGATAGACGATTGACGCCAAGTCTCACATATATCACGGCCAGGCTACGCACATCCTTGGTGAATCTTTGAAAACTTTATCGCTTGACTAATTTGTCATTAAGCTCAAACTGGTCAAAACGTAGACGCAGGACGAAACATGTCTACTGCCTTTGTCGTTGCCGTCGAGTCAACGTAATCTTACAAAAGCACCACATCGAATTTTGCTTGTTTGTGCAACAAGTACAAAAGATACCTTGACAATTAAGTACGCATCGCAATGAATTATGCCATGAGCAGCAAAGCAGCGCCAGTCGCTGGCGATGCGGCTGCTGCTGACAAGCAAGCTGAGGCAGGTGATGCATGCGCTTCAAATTTTTTCAAAGTTTGCAAGCATCGGCGCGTAGTTCATGGATGCCTCCTGTGCCTTGAGGTCCATGAGCGTTGGGCCAAGGATCCACGGCTTATTTGAATGAGTGTTTGTTGAGTTGTTTTGCGCCGCAGAATTTCACTGCGCTTCAGAAATGATTTCAGTGATATGTCTGAAGGACATGGTTGCCATGGAGGAGAGCATCAAGCTCATGTCCAGTGGCTTTGGAATTGGGAAGCTCTTATTTGTTTTCCTGGCAGTTAGCGGCTCATGTTCACGCAGCATGGTCAGTTTTCGTTTGTAGTCCTGCTTGCGATGTTCGCAGCAGATAACAGCTTCACCAGCTGTTGCTGCTGAGTTTGTTCCAGACACCTGTAGTTCATCTAGAGATGCACAAGCGGACCCACCAAAACAGATTCTTTTCAGGTTATCGAATCGGCTGCAAGATGCCGAGGACGTGCAGAGTCCAACTGGAGATAACAAGTCTCCCCGCAGAGCCGTCTGGTTCAGGCATTTCGCAACATCTGATAAGGAAGCGTCCTGGGCACATATTTCTGAGTGAGTTGGAGGTTTGCGCACATATTTCCATCGATTTTGTTTTGCCCACTCACTGACGCATGTGGACGTTAATACATGAAAGGATGCATATGGAACGGAGCAGAGTTGGGCGAACAGTGGCCACGTCTCTGTTCTTGATGGGCGTGTTATGTGCACTTGTTGTTAAGCCTAGCCAATCCGAAAGGGTACGTTGCGCTCAGGAGGTTACTATGGTTGACTTGAGAGTCCTTGATGGTAGGACTGCCTTGAGATGGCTTCTGCAGATGTGGCACAGCGTGATTTCCACTTCGACTCTGGAGATCATGACATGCGAGGCGTGCGAAGTGGGTCTGATGCACGGTGGCTAGACGCCGCTAGAACCAAGTATAGTTGAATCTGCTCCTGCTGCAGGCTGCTTCACATTCGTCAGCGCTCTTATGAGCCTTCTCAATGGCCTGGCATCGCTGGAGATGCCTGTCAGACTTTGTGCTTTTTGGCCGGTTGGTTCGTGTGCCTTACATGAGTTTAGTACCTATCGTGGCAACTCTTGCGCAAAGTTACATGCAGTGTCAATGGTAGCGCCTTTGGGGTGCGTGTTCCCAGTACGAAGGGGGCCAAAGATTAAGATGCTGCCGTCAAGCTCGCTACACACCGATAGTGTTGACTTTGTGTGAGGAACAATCAGCTTGATATCGTGCTGCAACGCGTGCGCAATGCAGATGAGGCCAAAGCAAGCGTAGCTGACTTAGGATGTTTTTGCAGGCAAGTCAAATTCAGCCCCTGCCTGTCCCCAGAACATTTGGGTTTAGGAACTGTGCACAGGTTGTCTTCCAAAGCCTGAGCGTATTGTGAATCTGTTGTTCTTCAGGATTTTGGGCACGTGGCTGCTTCAGGCTAACGACGTATTTTGGCGGATTCAGGCTTCTGCCCTTTTTCAGGGGTTTCTGAACTGGCAGTTGGTTCAATCGGGAATCCTTATTCGCCATCCTGTCGCCAGGAAATGTCCAGATGTGCTAAGCAGCCTCATCGAAATCTGCAGACGCACAGTTACGCGAAACAAACCCTCATCCCAAACTCAATTGTTCTTGCAAATCATCAATGCTGACCCCACCCCCAAACAAGCACATGTACTTGTCAAGAATGAATCCCACGTGAAAGGAGCTCACCAAAGACTGCGACTGGCCTGGGAAAACTGTCTTGCGAGGCCGGTCCGTGCATGGACAGTTCTTCTGTGTACATGGAACCTGACTTAACACTTTTGGCCACAGAATCCTCGTTGAGCTGTATTTAGCTGCTGGCTATTTGTGTGATAGTTGCTGCCGCAAGCTCTGAACTCGTAATCTGGCTCGTAGGCTCGTGGTGTGTCCTTAGGTTGAGTCTGGAAGCCAACGTCCCTGCAGTGAGAGGTCTTTGCAACCTGGTGGCTGGCGTTGTTGAGATCATGCAGGGTATGCCTTCCAGGGGTGTTGCTTGGCTCATGTAAGCACGTTGTTCATTGTTGCTGAGTTCTGGTCCTTCAAAAGGGTGGTGCGGGTTCATGGAGCAATAGTCTGGGAGCCCAGGGCTGCCCGAGGCGGAGGGAATCACATGACTTTGGCAAAGGGTTGATGGCAGCGGTGGTTGTGGATTGGTTGCAAAGCACCTCCAACATTTCCTGTGATCAAGGTATGGCATGTGCTTCGATCCTGGCTTTGGCTAAGAAACTTGGAAGTGGAGGACAGCCCAGAGAGCCAGATGGTTATGCACAGGACAGCTTTAGATTGAGAGCAACGACATCCCCGCACAAGGGCTGAATCTGGTTGTCTACCTGCACGTTCTTGTCCTCACGCTGTGCATTTTGCAAAAGAAAGAGCGCACTTGTGGCATTTGAAGGCTTCGATGCTGAGCGTGTCAACTCAACAGAAGTCTAACGTTCCGAGACGCCTGCCTAGGTTTTGCGAATCCAAGAGCCCCAAAGTCGTCAAACTCTTGGATCCAAGGAACCTAGTCTTGAAGCCGAAGACCCCTGCCAGGCCTTGAATTACGAGGGCTATGAGCGCTGTTGCGTCACTTGGCATCCACATGCATGCTGGAAGACAGAGTGAAATCTCAGGCAGCTCCTGGATCACAGGGTTGGGCTGAAAATTGCATAGGGTACAGTGTTTCATGCATTGCACTGTTGTGGCTTCTAGTCCAGACCCATCGGAGCGGTTTCCGTGCTTTCCTACTTCACCATTTTTAGTTTGCAGGTACCCGTCAAGAAAGTCTTTGTGGCTTTGCTAGCAGTGCTACACTGGCCGCACTGCTAGTCCCAGTCACAAGGCCATTACAATCTGAGCCAAATGCAAAAAGACAATGAATCTCCCATGGGATGAAGGGTTTTTTTGTTTGTTGCTTTGAGCGTAGAAGCCTGTGTTCCTGCAGCCATCAAACCCCATGCCTGCAAACCTTCGAGTCTAAGCTGAGACCGACACGAGCCCTGCTGCATTGAATTTGTCAGGTGAGATCAACGGCGCTGCTGGCTTTAGGAGTTTTCAACTTGTACCTTGCCTTTGAAACAATGTGTTTTTCGGGGTGGATTCAAAGGTTTCCATTAGGTTCGAAAATTGCATCTAGATTGGTTTCGCCGACCAGCTGCAAACTATTGGTATGTTAGCACAGCAGGAGGCATGGGATTCGTGCGCATAGCGTTCAGAAGAATATGACATGCGTTCTCAAGCCCGCCAATCACATCCGTGCAACGAGTCTTGCGAGGTTTGTGTCAATGTTGCCCCCAACAGCAATGAAAGCAGCCGGGTGGGCAACCGGCCGCTGGGCTTCAGTGCAAGCGAGCGAAGCGAGGGAGCTTTGAAGGGAGAGGTTTTGGTAGCCTGCTGGAATTATTCAGGATGGTGTTTCCGTGTTTCCCTTCAAATCATGGCAACTTGGCCTTCAGTGATTCTGCCTTACCCGGAACATTGCTTGCCAAAGCAAGGGTTTCAGGATCTGTGATGAGAGGCGCTTATATCTTAGCAGGAAAACAGGTCGCCGGCACACAGGTCCGCATCTGGCTGTGTGTTGCGCGCTTGATCCAAGCCCGTCAGAATCACAAGGCCGCACCTTTGCTTACGACGTCTTCAAGTCTTTGCTTAGCATGCCGACATCCCTCTCGCCTCGCAGCCTAAGGCTTTGCCGGTGGCCGCGACGTTGCTTTAGCTCAACTCCAGTCGTGTTGGGAGGAGGGTGGCATCCAGGCACGTCAGGTTCGCTTGAACTCACCGGTTCAAGCCTTCAGAGCGCTGTGTGACGCGTTTTGATGCTCATTCCGACGTGTTTTTTTTGTAACCTAGGTTTTCAGTTCGTCATTGTTCGAGCATGACTCCATTTTTACTGCCTGCCTTGTGTTGTCGGAGGTGTGGATGTGTTGCTTTTGAACTCCTTCTGAAGTGCAAATACGGACAGAGCCATCTCATTTGTTATATGATCTTTTCAGATTCGAATCCGAGACGTTCTGCAAACCCGCTTGTAGTCTTCGTCTCGAGGCGCCGTTTGCTGGCCTGGTGCTTATCGGCTTCTCCGTGGATGTTGCTCAGATTGAGCTTGGATAATGTCAGCATTCAGGTTTAGAGTTGCTTTCTGAGAATGCAACAGGAATTCCCAGCAGCTCACCCGTGGTTGAGGGTTCTGTCCAAGATCCTTCGTCTACCCTGGATAGTCTGGCTGGGTACGCTTGTGAGCCTTTGGCGATCGTGCCAAAAAGAAGGGGCTGAACATGTGCATCTGCCTTCAATACTTCCAGCTTGCGGCTGGAAGCTTTCGAACTCCAAGCTTGTGGTCGGACCCGTGTCGGAGCTACATCTCATTTCTCATACAGGTAATATCTTCTTCCTATTTGTTGCTCTTCTTGAACTATCGGATCAGCCTGTTTAGGATCTGCTCATAGCTTGACAAACGACGAAGCTCACACAGGAAGGACATCCGAGCTTGATCCTTCAGGTCTCCTCCTTCTTGGGGGAGCTGCGTGCCGAGCGCGCGAAACGGCACACGACTGCACGCTCCATTCTGGACTGGGCGCCGCGTGGTGGCAGGAGCCAGAAATCTGTTTGTTTCCTTTGGGCTCAGTGGTCAGACCTGGAACTGCAACAGGCATCTGTGTTGGCATTCAGTAACACATGATGCAAGTATCTTCTTTGAATGGTTTTGGATGGATAAATTGAGATTCTGAGGTCACAGGTGTTGCTATTTCCCTCTGTGTGCGAAGCTTGCTGTAGCTTGGATAGGGCCAACTTCTCATGGGTGACGGGTCCCTCCAAGCAGAAGAAGCATTGCAGTAGCATGCTCTAATAGTCTCACAATGTTGCGCAGTGCAGCACGCTGTGATTTGGCTAGCAGTCTTTGCCTACCTAGGAAGAAGAACTATCCGGATGCCTTCTTCTTCAAGGGACTGGAGAGCGGCTATCTGGCGGCTACTCAAGATTTGGAAGGCATTGCGGGTGTCGGGTGTATCTAAGTTTTGCTGTTTTGCCAGCCAGTGTCCCAGTGTCCTGATTTCCACTGCTCCTGGTCTGACAAGCCTAAAATCCTGAATACCAGTTGTGTGTTTTCCATGAGTTTGCGGTGGCCCCTGACTATCAGCAAGATTTCTGACAGGCGCAACTCACTCACAAATCGCACCGGAATTTCTTTGCAATGATGGGTCCCTATTATTTATGGAACTTCAAAGAGATGCTAGGCATTGAGGAATCTGCACATGGTTTGGATAGGGATGACGCTTGTGGATTGCTTCGGCGCTGCTTTTTTCATCGTACCTCTAGCCTGGACAGACCAGGGAGTCATGGAGTTGGCACAAGGTGCTGGAGTGGGAGAGCGGGTTTAAAGTGTAGGAAAAGAGGGTTCAAGAATGTAGCCCTCAGCTGCCAGCAACTTTAACTTGGATGGTTTGCCTGTAAAAGGATATCTGAAAAGCGTAGAAACTCACGTGACAAAAGCTTAAGTTTCAGCTCAGACCTACTAGTGCGCAGCACGCGACCCGATTTCAGCCAACCTTCAGCTAGAAGCCTGCATGGCAGAGTGTAGGACCCGAGGGCTTTAGGTTGCCCCTGATGGAGCCGGAAAACTCCGTGCCGGAACCGCCGCCGCTGGGCCGGAGTGCATCGGTGCCGTCAGGCAGGGAATTCGGGATCACGTATTCAGAGTTGCATCAGGTTATAGCAGCCTGGTTTTTTTTTTCTACTTTTCCTAGAAGGACAAGTGGCAGATTGGCGATGGTTCCTTAGCAGTGTCAAAAAGAGCGCACGTTAAGCTGGACATAGCTCAGGAGGATCTGAAATGCGAGAACCGTCCCCGATCCCCAGCACAAGAAAGCTCCAAGCCTGCAAAGCTCTGGCAGGGAATGTCGTCTTAAAAGGCATCGACATGCTGAGTCGATCGCACACCGTGCAGACTTGAGGTTGCAAGCAGACGCCCACCGGGCCTAGGCCAACTCAGACCTGTGAAGGCCTTGCGCATTCTCCATCTGTAAACGGTCAGGAGTCAACAATGTGTTCCTGCGAAGCCGCTGTAGGAAAGTCGGAAGTTCCACATGCAGTGTCTGATTCAAGATGAGCATACATCTCAGTCAAAGGTGATTTTTTGCTTCGACTATTTTCAGCAACTATGCTCAGATCCCAAGGATCACTGGTGTGGACAAGCTGCTGCTTGGGTACATGAGAGATGCTGTGGCATGGTAAATGTGTTGCTTCTGATATAGCATGTTATGCAGTTGTCCTGGATTTTTTCTTGTCTTGACCTGAAGACTCTGAATGTGAATGAGCCTCTGCAGCCCAAGAGTTTAGATCCAGACGTCGCAGATCGGGAGTTCTTTCTAAGGAGGCTAAAAATACAAGACTAGCAGAACCTTAACCTTCCTATAGCCTGTCGAGGGCGTTGAAAGATGCCTGCTTGGACCCCAACGCCCTGATCATACAGGCTGGCAAAATCACCGGTCGCCACCAAAGGTGTGCCTTTGCTGCAATGTCCTATGAGATGTTTGATGTTGTGTGGGTCTCAGACTTTGAGGGCGCCCGTTTAAGTATTCCCACGTAGAGGGGCGCTCGAGTGGGAAGATTGTTGACAGGGACGCGTGAAATCTGAAATATTTCCGCAATCGAAAATTGCGCTTGTGGGATGGACGCTCCAGCTCACCTCTCAAGGTACGCTTGAGCATCGTCTGGCAGTTTTCATGAGGAGCCTTTTTCAACCCTGCAACTAACTATCGTACCAGAACACGAAGAAAGTGGTATACACCTCATTCTGCACATATATATATATATATGTACTACTCCCCCCCGAGACCTACCTTTTTTACAATTTTAGGCGGATTCCGTAGTACTAGCTTAGGTTAAATAAGCTAAATCGTATGGCGCGCGCGATATCATGACATAACTGTGTGTCAGCATCATGTGCATGTGCTTAGGTGAGGAAACCCAACTCCAAAACCCAACGTTCCAGGATTCCAAAATTATCCTTTAATTTGTAATTTGATTTTAAACAGCATTCATATAAGGGAATACCACATCCAAAATCAGAACTTCGGGATTCCAAGATGTTCCTTCAATTTCGAAATAGGCTTTGGAAGACAATATATAAAGGAAAACCAGCTCCAAAAACCAAAGTTCCAGGATTCCAAAACTTTCCTTTGATTTGTAATTTGAAGCAGCATTCAGACAAAAGGAAGACCACGCCCACAACCAGAATTTCAGGATTCCAAGATGTTCTTGCAATTTCTACTTTGGCTTTGGAAAGTAGTTTGTGAGGGGAAACCAGCTCCAAACCCAGAATTCCAGGACTCCAAAATTTTCCTTTGAGTTTTGATGGCTTTGTTTAAAGAAAAACAATTCAACAAACGTTGAATTTCCAGTTCGATTTCAAGGTAAACCAACTCCAAAACCCGAACTCCAGGATGCCAATGCCCTTTGAAGTTTAATAGGTTTTAAAGCAAAACCATCTCATACCATCGCCAAAAATTGCCTTTATTTCTAGTTTGATTTCGAAAGGAGCTTGTATAGGAACACCACATCTAAAATCAGAATTCCAGGATTCCAAAATTCTCCCTTTTTAAGTTAGATGTTAAAAGGAATTTGCACAACGGAATACCGCCTCCAAGAACAATCATTTTGATTTTGTGTTTGATTTTCAAAGGCATTTTTCAAAAAGAACACCACATCCAAAAAAAACAGAATTCCAGGATTCCATGATTTTCTGTGTTTCTAACTAAATTTGGAAATTAGTTTATAACAGGAAGCCAGCTCCAAAACCAAAAGTTTCTGGATTTCAACAATTTCCTTTAATTTGTAATTTGCTTTGAAAAGGCATTTATATACAGGAAAACCACATCCAAAGCCAGAGTTTCAGGATTCCAAATGTTCTTTAACTTTCTAATTAGGTTTTGGAAAGTAGTTTATGAAGGAAAACCAACTCCACAACCAGAATTCCAGTATGCCAAAATTTTCCTTTGAGTTTAGGATAAGTTCTTGAAGACAAACTACTTGCAAACAAAAAGCTTTGATTTCTAAATCAATTTCAAAAAGAACTTGTACAGGAACACCACACCCAAAACTAGAATAAGTCCAGGATTCGAAGATTTTCCTTTGATTCTACTTAGCTTTCAAACAGAATTTATATACAGGAAGACAACATCCAACAAAAGCTTTCCCTTTAATTTCGAGTTCAATTTGCCAGTGCATTCAACTAAAGGAACACTATATCCAAAGCCAGAATTCAAGGATTTTGCACTGTTTTCTCATTAAATTTCAAAAGGAACTTAAAGAACCTGTTCTAGAACAGGGGTTGTTTGTATAAGTAATGTTTCAATCGACTCAATCTTTTGGAGGTCTTGGGAGAATGACCTCGAAATCAAAAAAATTGTCGCCCCTCAGCACTTTGGGACTCTGGGAGCTACAAAACACTGAGAGGCCTCAATGTTTTTGGGGTTCAGGATTCAAAAAGATTGAGGCCTTGCAGCACTTTGGGACTCTGGGAGCTACAAAACACTGACAGGCCTCAATGTTTTTGGGGTTCAGGATTCGAAAAGATTGGGGCCTCGCAGCACTTTGGGACTCTGGGAGCTACCAAACACTGACAGGCCTCAATGTTTTTGGGGTTCAGGACTCAACAACATTGAGAGGCATTACAAAAAGGTTGGTCTTGGGAGGGGTACCATATATATATATACACACTTATATCTATATCATCTGCATATATATATATATACACACGTGTATATGACATGTGTGAAAGAGAACGCATCCATTCCTGAGTCGCAGACAGTTCCATGCGATGCGAAGGCATCTTGACAACATTTTCTGTGCCATTGCAGAAGGCAAAGGCAAGGACAAAGGCAAGAGCGATTTGCCGCAGCGTGGGGCTTAGACTT